ATTATTCTCTGTAGTTTTCTATAATTTAATTTTTTTTTAAAAAAAGGAAGAATATGCTGAGCCCAGAAATAATTCTGATTGTTAAATCATCTACAACACAGAAGCAAGTCATCACCAAAATTTCCCAAACTCCTTTATCTACAATGTGTAAAGCCAGATACTATATAGAAATTCAACAAAATATCTATTTGTTTCCACTTCCTTCCGCTCTAAGAGCAGCGAACAATGGTTGCTAAGCTGCCTGAGCCATAGAGGACTGCCTGAGAAACAGTTTCCTTCCCTCATGTGAAGCTGATAAAGAGCTGGGCCTTTGTTTCCCCACCATAGTTATGTATCCAACTTCCGTTAGGATAGTACGGTATAAATAATGAAAACATTTACCTTCATTTGTTTAGTGAGTAAGTCTAATTTGATATTTCTGTCATGTTTTCAAAATTTGTAGACACATGCAAAAATGGATATCCTGGAAATTACTTTTTATTTTGTTTTTATAAGCAATTTGATAACCCTAATAAACTGTTTAGAAATGTTGGGGAAATGATAACAACAGACAGTGGTAGTGGTAACTAACGTTTATAAAGCATGCTGGGCTATGCACGCTGCCTGGTGCTTTACATACATTATCTTATTTCAACTGCACAAAGACTCGGCAAGACAGGTACTATTAATTAGCTCCATTTCTCAACATTAAAAACAAAAAAAATGTATCCAGGGTCTAACAGTAAATAAACAAAGGTTTTAAATACAATAAAGAAACATGAGTCAATGAACAAAAACCCACTTTGTTGCTAACTTCACCAGAAGACATCCTTTCTGTTAAGGAAAGACCCTGGTGGGTCACAAGGAATCTCAGATAAAGGTAAATGCCAGCATGGCAAGAAAATCTTTTTATCTATTGCTCTCCTTCCAGTAAATTATCAGTTTAAGTGGATTTAATAAAGTATTTCTTTGTAATAACTGGGAAAATTAAATTCTTTAAATAGTTATAATTATGATTTTACTTCTCATAATTTTAATCTAAAATCAAAACAAAAAAAGAAATAAATCAAACCTTTCTCTGCATTCTTGATAGATTTTTTCTCTTTTCCTTAAAAGTCATGAACTTTTTTGGTTTATTAATGTCCTCTGTATCTTTTTTCACTTCTACTTCCTTGATTCTTAGGCACAAGAATGTTTTTAGCATCTAATATTGAAGAAGACACAAATGTAAGTATTAAGTTTATATTGCCTTCAAAAACTTTATACAGAAAAATATGCACTTAACAATGTTATTTCCTCCCTTCGTGCAAAGAAAGAGAAAAAAACACCTTTGAACTATCTTTTATCACATTTCACATAAACATTTATCTTTTTGCTAAATATATTTGATAACTTGTGTCTATGAAAGCACAACTACTATTTGGCTAACTACAAGTAATATTATTCTGCAGTTTGATGACAACAACAAAGAGAGAGCACATTCCTTGGTATTGGCAGACAGGAGTCAAAGAGTAGACAGGCCAGAAAAAGGTTTGAACCAATATTGGAGGAGGGGATATAAATTAGGTATTACTTTTTATTTTCTTTTTCTAAATATATATATTGTTTTTATTGATTTCAGAGAGGAAGGGTGAGGGAGGGAGAGATGGAAACATCAATGATGAGAATCATTGATTGGCTGCCTCCTGCCCGCCCCATACTGGGGAACGAGCCCACAACCCGGGCATTGTGCCCTTGATTGGAATCAAACCTGGGACCCTTTAGTCCATAGGCTGACACTCTATCCACTGAGCCAAACTGGTTAGGGCATAAATTAGGTATTTCTAAACCAGCTTTAATTTCCCATTTACCAAATGGAAAAATGTTGATCACATGATACAAACTTTCAGTTAGAGGATATGTAAGTTCTGGAGATCTAAAGTACAGCATGGTGACTACACTTAATAATACTGTGTCATATACTTCAAATTTGCTAAGAGAGTAGATCTTCAGTATTTTCACCAAACGGGGAAAAGGGTAACCATGAAAGGTGATGAATGTCTTAATTAACTTGATTGTGGTAATCATTTCACAATGTATACGTATATTAAATCATCACACTCTACACTTTAAAAACCCAAATTAAAGAATGCAGTTTATAATTCTAACATCACTAAAATGAAAATGTTTCCCTGTGACCAAGTTTCATGTTCAAGCCTTATGATCTGATCACTCTACAATTCTGAATAAAGACACCAAATATGTTCTCTACTTAAGTACAATATTTATAATTTTCGCAGTTCAACTAAAATTATCAGCTTTAATGAAAGGGATCTGATGGCAAAGCAAGGCTAAAATTAGGAACTAGAACAGTAGAAATTGTGAGCTAAGCAATCAAAACTGTATGACGAGATTTCATTTGGGGAATTAAGTATTTTCCCTTTCTACTTTACACACTTCTATAAATAAATACCTCATAGCAACTGAAAATTAACTTCGTAATTTAAAACAAACCGTGTAAAGTAAAATGCGAAAAACTTACCTCTGGCCTAACGTCATAATTTCTGCCCTTCACAAATCCAGAAATCACTTTGATTACTCCAAGGGAAGCTTGGCCTAATTTATCTTGCTTAAAAAGCTTCTTAACTGCCTCGCAGCACATTTCAGATATCTGAAAAACAAAATGTCACACTAAACTGGCGTTTCTCAGCCTCAGCACACCTGACATTTGGGGCCAGAGAATTCTTTGTTGTGGGGAGCTATCCTGTGCATTGTGGGATATTTAGATGTCTGGCCTTTATCCACTACAAGGCAGTTAACACCCCAACCAGCACAGTCCTGGCGATCAAAACTGGGGTTCGGCACAGCCTAATACTCCCTGGAGGGCAAAACTGCCTCCTATTCAAAGCCACTGCACTAAACTTACAGGGATCAAATAGTTTTCTTAAAGAAACAGTGTTTAGTAAAGTGATTCTATTTCAGCTCCAAAAATTTTTTGAGAGAAAAAAAGCCATACGGTCTATAATTTTCTGTTAAGCCCAACAGCAACAATCGTTTAGAGCAGCCCACCGATTTTGACAGGTCGTTCATGAGAGGGACAATCAGGACGATGATGTTGTTGTGAAAGTTGAAATGAGGCAGTGCCACCAGCAGCTCACACAGGCTCTTCACAGCCACTTCTGCCAGTCCTTTGTATGCCTTTAAGGAAACTACATTACTTTTCTTCAGCTTCCTTTGCTTCCAGTCTAATAAAAAGATAACTCTAATTACTTACTTCACTCATTGGTCAAAACTTCAGCTAATTACCTTTCTTTTACAGTAATATGTGATAATATTAAAACTCAACGTACCACGCAAATTCTTAAATGAGTTGTATCTATCCTTAGACAAGACAAAGGTCATCATCAAAATGTTTCTACACCATCCACCCTCTGACTCTAAACACAATTACCAGTCTTGGCTTCCCATGTTTTTTAAAAGATACATATATCAGCCAGCTGGTGTGGTTCAATGGCTGAGCATCGACAAATGAACCATGTCACAGTTCGATACCCAGTCAGGGCTCAGGCCGGGGTTGTGGGCTTGATCCCCAGTAGGGAGTGTGCAAGAGCAGCCGATCAATGATTCTCTCTCATCATTGATGTTTCCATCTTTCTCTCCCTCTCCCTTCCTCTTTGAAGTCAATAAAAACATATTTTTTTTAAAAAACCCACAATAAATTCCAACCATTTATGAATTAAGACATATACAACTACTTACTAGGTAAAGGACTGCAACAATACTAATAACTGACAAAATACAGTCCTTAATACAGTCTAGGCATAGTTGTAAGCACTTTGTATCTATTAATTCATTTACTTTTACACAACAATCCTGTGAGTTAAGGACTAGTATTATTCCCACTTGACAGCTAGAAAAGCGGAAGCACAGAAAGATTAAATGATTTGCACATGCCCTGACCAGATTGGCTCAGTGGATAGAGCATCGGCCTACGGACCGAAGCGTCCCAGGTTCGATTCCAGTCAGGGGCATGTGCCTTGGTTGCAGGCATATCCCCAGTGGGAGGTGTGCAGGAGGCAGCTGATCGGTGTTCCTCTCCCATCGATGTTTCTAGCTCTCTATCCCTCTCCCTTCCTCGCTGTGAAAAATCAATAAAATATATTTTTTTAAAAAAATGATTTGCACATCACATAGGTGTTAAGTGATAAGCCAAGATTTGAACCCAGAAAGTCTGACTCGAGACCCTGTTCCTGACCATACACTATGCTGACAGCCAACACACAGCACAGAATAGAGAATTCACCTGCCTGACCAAAGCTAAGTATGTTACATTCTTTCAAGATGTTTAATATACCTTTAACCATTTGCTCCAGATTTTCCAAATAAAATTTATATTGGCTAACAAGCCCTTCTTCAAATTCTCTTAATTTTTGGGTTTCTTTGCGGATCTGAAAAGACCAAAACATCAATCACGTTTTAACATCAAAATATTGAAATCCAAAAATTAGCACAAAATGTTGAGTGCCTTGTATACGAGGTCATGTAAAACCAACCAAACAATACAAACAAAACAAAACAAAACCACCCTGTTTCTTCCATCTCTAGCTCTCCAAACTTTTCAGTTTATTTTATACTACGGGCCCGGTGCACGAAATTCATGCACTGGGGGGGGGGGGGG